ATAAGTCAATGCAGGTAAATAGATAACAGATTTATCCAGATTAAAACTCTAGTCTAACACTACTTTACAATAGAATATTATTAATCTGATAATATCTTTTTATAGAGATGTAAAAAAAATAAAAATTATATACCAACAAAAATACAAAAGTATAGAAAAATATATAAAAAAAAACAAGCAAGAAAAAAAAAAAAAGATAAAATAATAAAAAAATAATAATAATAATAAAAATAATAATAAAAAAATAATAATAATAAAAATAATAATAATAAATGATAAAATAATAATAAAAAAAATAATAAAAAAATAATAATAAAAAATAATAATAAAAAAAATAATAATAATAAAAATAATAAAAAAAAATAATAAAAAAAAATAATAATAAAATAATAATAATACCGTATATTTCTAAAAATAAGCTACTCTGAAAATAAGCTACCTTCCTTTTTTGAGATCATCTAAAGCCATGTACTCACATGACTTTTTGTATAAATCAACCAACTGGAATTACAGAATTTTGTTTACACGGATCAGTCTGAAAAAATCAAAAAATAAAAAAAAACACAAAAGATGAAAAACAGCAGTCTTAACTTATCTTGAGCACTAATTAAAAATATCAGAAAGGCAATTTTACTTATATCTCTTTTCTTATATTAACATCCAACTAACCCTAATCCTAACCTTAATTTTAATTTAAATGATTAAAACATTAAAATCACATGGGTACATGGCTTTAGCCATCTTCCTTTTTTAAAAGAAAAATGTAAAAACTTTTATTATTCAAAAATAAGCTACTTATATGATCATTAGGAGTTAGTCTATAGCAAAGTCGAAATTTTACTAAGTAAATTAATATAGCTTATTAAGTAAAAGTTATTCGGAAGATCAAAATACATATATTTGAAAAGTTTTATCCAAATTGGATGACCTTTTATTAATAGATTTTTGCATTTTATATTCGATAAATTTTTTAAAATTTCTTTAAAATTCATATTCGTTGAAGTAAAAATCAAAAGTTAATTAATAAAAAGTTGTTCGATTTATGTGAAATTTTTAGAATATATATATTTTGATTTCCTGAATAACTTTCACTTAATAAGCTATATCGATATGCTTAGTAAAATTTTCTGTAATCAAGCAAAATCTGCTTTTACCCAAAAATAAGCTACTTCTGATTTTTTGAGCTTAAAATCATCCAAAAAATGGTAGCTTATTTTCAGAAATCTATGGTAATAAAATAATAAAAAAATAATAAAAAACAAATAATAATAAAAAATAATAAAAAATAATAAAAAAAAATAATAAAATAATAAAAAAATAATAATAATAAAAATAATAAAAAAAAATAATAATAAAAAATAATAATAAAAAATAATAAAAAAAAATAAAAAAAATAAATAATAATAAAAAAATAATAAAAATAATAATAAAAAAAATAATAAAAAAATAATAAAAAAAATAATAATAAAAAAACAATAATAAAAAATAATAATAAAAAATAATAATAAAAAAATAATAATAAAAAATAATAAAAAAAAGAACTTCTAATTGCTAGCCTAGCTGATTTTATTAAATATCAACCTATTATAAAAAATATATATTATATGGTTACACAACATACTATAATTAGAATAAATAATAAACGGATATCATATAATTATATTAAATATACTAAACAAATCGTTCTATTCGCAAGTCAGTAATAAATATAAAAATATACTTGTAAATTAGACAAGTTTCAGAAAATCATTCTATCAATGTTGCTTATAACCTGTGATAACTTGTTTGTATACAGATTATGACTTTAAAACTTGTTATAAAATTTACTACAATACTGCAGTATCACCATGCAATATCATTTATTGGTACTTAATTTTAGATAAATTTAGTGTTATAGATAAATTCATCCAAACTAGTTCAAGGCGTTGTATTAAAAATGCATGATGTATACTTATATATATACATAGAATTGATTAGTAACAGTAATCGAAGCTCTTTGTGTTTAGTGGACAGATTATACTTTTATGTAGATATACTGCCTAAACTGAGTATTTCAATAAACATAACATACCGATATATTATAGTACCAGAAATAACAAAGATACTTTGCTGCATATATATAAAATAAAGTTAGTATGAATAAATTGCTACATATATAAAAGAAATTCTTATCTATAGCCCCTAATATAAAAAGAATAATATTAGAGCTTACTCTAACTCTAACAATTAAAAGGGATCACTTATAAATAATAACATTTAAAAGTCTTGAAAATCATATATATAATTTGCTAAAAGAAATTTGTATCTATAACTCCTAACATGAAAAAGAACAATATTAAAGTCTACCCTAACCCTAACTATTAAAAGAGATCATTTATTAAAGATAAATTTATAAGTCCTGCAAACTATATATATATTCATAAATTTCTTATTACATTATTTACAATATACAGTATATTCTATTTAATAATGAAGTATATATATGTATATAATATGCACTATTCACCTAAATCTAACATGAAAGAAACTAAGTTAATACTCTCCCTAACCCTAATCTAAAAAGTAATTCATAAGTAAATATAAGTTACGGTCAAAGCAAAAAATCTTTAAGTAAATTTATTATTAGCAAACAAATTTTAACAATCAATTATCATTATGCAATTACGATCAATTTAACAAGCTAAATATCTAAATATCTTCTCTATTCTTATAATGTAAATAAGTGTGACTAGTTTTATTACAAATTATACATAGAGCAATACAACTTCTTGCATTATAATCCTCCTTAAGACAATTGCAACACGTATACCCATCTTCAAAATAAATATTAATACTTGTAATCTTGTTTTTTAAATTTTTTGGATGATTTTCTATAAATGCTTTTAATCAATTAGTAGGTCTTCCTCTTGTGTTAGCTTGTAATAGATTACGAATTATGTCCTGATTTTGGCTTGTATTATTCGTATATGCTTGTTCTATTTGATGAATCAAGCCCTATAAAGTAGCGAAAACATGAGTTAAATAGAATTTAGCTGCTAGTGATACTAATTTATATCCTAAAGTAGTGTATTCACTATAGATTTGCCATGTTGTAATTGAATTTTCAATTTCAGAATTTGAAATTGAATAATTTTGGCTCGAATTCTGAATGTTGTATAAAGAAGTTAAAGCTATATTTTTAACCCTTGTATTAGTAGCACTATTATGAATTCCAAAAGAATCATATACAATGCTAATTTCATCCACATCAATCTTTCATTTATATTATCAGCTTTTTATCAAAGCAATACTAAACTTGGTATTTTTTGTTTGCAATATTACTTGAAAGAAGTAACAGCAAACTACCCATCATTAATTAAAAGTAAGCATATGCAAATATGCAAATTATCTTGAAGTAATGCTACGTAGTTAAGTGAAGTCATATTAGCTGCCATATGTTTAACTTTTCAAATTTCCATAATATTAATAAGACCAACACGATTAATAACTGAATTAAATGCAATTTGATGTTTGTCAATAAAGTCTTCAAGGCAATTAGAAATATTAGAAACATCAACCTTAAAAGTTCATGTATTAGTAATATACTACTGTAATTATTCGTTTATTCATATTAAATAACAAACCCTAACTTACTTTATTACAAGTTTCATATTGATCAGAAGGAATCAAAAATCAATCTTGAAAAATATTCAAAACAGATATCAATTTGAGCTTTTTGAATTCTAAAGACCTCATCTGTTAAAATAGACTTCAAATTTTTAACTATATTAGAAAAAACGCAAATTGCTGATGAAGACCTAATAATAAAAGATAATTCTCCAAATAGTCTCGATACTTAGCTTTTTCAAGTTTAAATGACAACATATTTTGAATCTTATTAAAACAATCTATTAGTATTAAATGTGAGTTGATATATTTATATACAATCATATTAATGGATTCTACGTATTGTGTTGAGGATATTCTGGTATTGAACTCCTAAAAAAAAAAGTTTTTGTTATTTGCATTCTGAATATAATTTTAATACCAATATATTTATGATGTAATTGCCTTAAAGTTATAACATTTAGCTCATTTTTCTTTAATTGGGTACAAGGTATTTCTTAAATATGAGGAGGTTTTTGGAAATTTTATACAAAGTGAATTAAATCGTGATTTAAAAATCTCTTCAAATAAAGTATTATGGCAAGCAAAAAAATCATTTTGAAATATAGAAAAACGGAAACCAAGTGTACGTATCAAATATTTTTTAATATTTTGAACTACATAAAAAATGCAATGTAAATATCATGTAGTTAGAAAAGTAGATTCAATTGCTGGTCCCAAACCGGTATCACAATCAGAGTATATTGTTATAAGAGGTAAATTATTTGTAGCTAATAAAAGATTCTTAAAAACCCAGATATATGACAAAGTTGTTTCATCAGACATTAGGGCTTAAGCTACTAATTGTGGATAACAGTATTGGTCAACAGCAACAAATAAGTATAATACTATGCAATATTTGTTGGTTCTTGCCATATTATCTGTTAAAATTATATTGTGATACTTCAAATACAAATTTTGCTAGTGGGGTAATATTCAAAATAAATAAAAAAGATGATTTTTAACATAATTTTAAGCTATAAACCATATTGGGTCATTTTTTTTTATTTTTTGCAATTTCTTAAGAAGATTTGATGCATCATTCTCAGGATTTCGCTCAGAATTTTTTATATTACCCTTTTGAAACTGTTGAATAGCATTTGCCAAATTTTTATTCAGAAACAATTAATCTTTAAATTTACTACGAAGAAGTTGTTTTAACATATATTGACTAATATCATGAATCATATTCATATAGAATTAGATTTTGTTCATTATATTCTGAGAAGCTGCTGATATATATTTGCAAAATGAATTGTTTCAGAATTAAGTTTATGACAATAATGTTCAAGATTCATTTTAGTAATAGTTGGGTTTAATGATTTAAGTAGCCAATACATGTTAACAAAACAAGTTCAACTTTTCTTGATCGACTCTGTTATATTGCTGTGAGGGGTTGATGCTTGTTTTGTTTGAATAAAACTTTTTAGTGTGCTGGCATACAAATATATACTTGTAAATATCACCATTTTTATCCAACTTTCTTTCTTGATTTCACTATGCAAAACTAGTCTGCTTTTTATAAGCTAATGGTACCAAGTATACATGATTCTAATAATCAAACTTCATCCCTACACATAATTCTGATGCTTGTTCAAATACTATATTTGATATTGTCAGCATTTCAAGAGGCCTTCTCTTAGATATTCCAGTATGAGGTAAATTATTTGCCTAGACATCTTTATTATAATTAACTATCTCATCGTTAAAATCAGAATAATCTATTTTTGAAAACAAATATTATATGGTAGTAGCACTTGAGCTGTATAAACAGATTAAATACTCTAAAAATTTTAAAAGATAATAAGTTAGATATACGAAATACAAAATGCAGTACTAATAGATACTATTAAAAATGCTTTCTCACAATATATTAAGACATAAATATAAACTTTAGTTATACTTTTATGTGATGTATTTATTCTTCCCTTTACTATTCACAAGTTGACTAGTTTTATTAGAAAATCATGTAAAATTTTTAAAGATAATAAGCAGACACGTGAACCAATCGAATAACTGTTGATATAGTTAAAAATACAGTTTACCATATATCAGATTGTAAGTATTAATTTCTGTGTAATGTATTTAATTCTTCTTTTACTGTTCACAGGAAAAAATTTTGGCCAGCTTATTTAAAAAACAGTGTATAAAGTGTATTAGGAAATAGTATATTAAGCACTTATTAGAAAACTGCATACAAATAAAGAGAAGATCGATCACTGTCATCTACTTTCATTGTTATATAACTATAACATCATACATGTATTACATATTCGACATGTTAAATTCTATTGTTTTATAAATTATACATAGCACAAAATGTACAATGATCAACTATAAATTACATGTTAATAGTACGGGCTGACATTTAAGCAAATCAGTTAGGCTGCTTTAACAAAATCTCTATTTTTATATAATACTTTAAATTAAAAAAGTATAATTTTTTCTCTTGATAAGTTTTTTACTTTAATAGGCAAATCACGAGTCACCTAAACAAATATTTTTTTTTTATATATAAATTTTACTATAAGCCTGAATATGCAGCGCATCTATCTAAAACTTTTTTTTTTACTAAGTAAATCACTCTTAGGCTTGTAACAAAAGTTGTAAAGCTTATCAAGAAATATCTAATGGTAGTAAAAATATTAAAATCGGCCTGGTGGTTCTTGAGAAATTTTTAAAAAACTCTTTCTCACATATAAAATTTCTTTAAAAAAAATTGATTTTTTTTAAAAAAATTTTATATGTGAAAAAGAAGTTTTTTAAAAAATTTTCAAGAACTACCAGGCTGATTTTAACATTCTTACTACCATTAGATGCTTCTTGATGAGCTTTACAACTTTTGTTACAAGCCCAAGAGTAATTTACTTAGTAAAAAAAAAGGTTTAGATAAGCATGCTGCATATTCGGACTTATAGTAAAATTTACATATAAAAAAAAAAATATTTGTTTAGATGACTCGTGATTTGTCTATTAATATACTAATTAGATAAATTTAGAGTAAAACTAGTTTATATAGTAATATATAATTTTTATAAGCCTAATATAAGCTTATAATTTAATATTAACTTTTTTTGCTAATCATCAAAACACAAAATTTTAAAAAACAAATTTAACAAAAAACTATAAGAAACATACAAAAACTACTAGAAAATCAAATTTAAAGCTTTAAAAAAAGAGAAAGAGGATCACAAGAAATACTTAGTTTCTTAAGAGACTTGAGTAAAAAAAAGCAAAAGTGGTAAAGAAATAGAAAAAGTTGTGAAAAATCATTGGTATTTTTTTGCTTTTTGTGAAAATTTTAAAAATTAGTCTTAACCCTAAATCACAGATCTGTTTTTTTTTTTTTTTTTTTTTAATATTAAAGTGATCTCATGGTTAGTTGCTTTTATTAGTTTTTGTGCTAAGCTGATCAAAGTTAGCCGCTACTTATTTTGGTATATGGTTTTAGAGAGTACAACTAGCCATACGTACAACTTTTGATTGTCTATTTAAGTAGTCTGTCTGAAGGTTCTACACTAGATGCTATACCTATAATCCAACTAGGAGATTATCTATTTAAACCCTCTGCGCCGGCACATCTTTATGAGGAACCAATACCTGCCATAGGAAGCGCCTGATCTAAGGCTAATTTATCCTCAAAATAAACTTGCTAGAGCTTTCTATACCTACAATCCGGCTAACCTAGACTTTGGTAAGGGATGTAACAAAAATTAGTTAATTTTTTAAAAAAAGAGGGAAGTAAAAAAAGTTAAAATTATATATAAGAACCTGATTTTTTTATATTAAGAGGGGAAGAGGAGGAGTAAGCCTCTAATAAAAAATAATCAGGTGATAAATGATATTGCCTTAACTTATGCCCAAGTTTGAGAACAAGGACTTGTGAACTAAGGCTGCTACTATTACCTACTTTTGCCCTTGTAGAGTTTACCCAAACTCCAGTACATACTTTACAGACTATCACCAATTTTAATCCTAACAATCCTAAACTACCAA